GTCCCCATGGTCCCTGTCCATCCTCACTGACTGTCCCCCTGTCCATCCCCACTGACCGTGCTGCTGTCCCCACAGCGGGCGCGGGGCCGGAGGCACGCGGGGAGTTGGTGACACGGCTGCAGCGCAAGGATGGCCTGGGCTGGACCTGGGTCTACGCCCGCCTGCGGCCAGAGGGGCCGGCCCTGCTGGCCCACAACTTCATCATCAGGTCAGTGCTCACTGGTCACTGGTCAGCACCAGCCGCGGCCACCCCTGGGGACACCCCGGTGGCCGCAGTTGCGCTGACCGCTGTCCCCCCACAGCGAGGCCGAGGCCTGGTGCCTGCGGCAGCAGCTGGCGGCTGAAGCCCCCCCGGGCCCCCTGGAGCCGTTCGGAACCGGCCTCGACTTCCCCGGCGGAGCTGGAGATGACCTCGGCCTCGATCTCAGCGTGGGGCCCAGCCTGGGCAATGATGGAGGAGCCAGCACTGGCCTTGGGCTCGTTGTCAGCGCCGGCTGCGGCCTCGGAGCCGACGTTGGACACAGCCTGGGAGGAAACACCGCGGCCACCATTGACTCTGGACTCGGGGCCACCATCGGACACGGCCTGGGAGCCAACACTGCGGCCACCGTGGATCCTGGACTTGGGGCCACCATCGGACATGGCCTGGGAGCCAACACTGTGGCCACCGTGGATCCTGGACTTGGTGCCACCATCGGACACAGCCTGGGAGGGAACACCACGGCCACCGTGGATCCTGGACTCGGGGCCACCATCGGACACGGCCTGGGAGCCAACACTGCGGCCTCCGCTGACTCTGGAATTGGGGCCACCATCGGACATGGCCTGGGAGCCAACACTGTGGCCACTGTTGATCCTGGCCTTGGAGCCACCATCGGACACGGCCTGGGAGCTGCCCTGGGCAGTGGTGTGGAGCCCGGCCTGGGGGCTGGCATCGGACACGGCCTCGGACACAACACTGCGGCCACCGTGGCGCCCGGCCTTGGGACTGGCATGGGACATGGCCTGGGAGCCAACGCTGCGGCCACCGTGGATCCTGGACTGGGGGCCACCATGGCCCCGAACGTTGGCCACGCTCTTGGAGACGCCGTTGGCCACGGCCTGGGCTCGGACGCCGGCGTCGGCCTCGGTGTGGGAAGCGGCATCAGAGTGGACGTTGGCCTGGGCATGGCGGCCGGAGCCGGCGTGGGCACCGCCCTCGGGACCGACCTCGGGGAGGACCTGGGAGCGAGCGGCGTGGCCGAAGTGACTGCCGGCCTCGGGCCGGGCGTGGCCCTGAGCATCGGCGCCAACATCGGGCCCGGCCTGGCCAGCGGCGCCATCAGGGCCAGCATCGGGCTGGGCATCGGCCAGCCGGACATCGGAGTGACCGTCGGGGCCGGGGTCAGCGCCGGCCTCGGCCTGGGCGACGACGTGCGAGCCGGACCCGGGACTGGACTCGGCCTGGGAGCCGCCCTCGGGGCCACCGCGGGCTCGGCCGCGGGAGCCAGCGCCGGCTCCGGCCTCGGCCACAGCATCGGAGTCGCCGTGGGGGGCTCCGGCCTGGGCCCCGGCGTCGGCCTGGCGGTCGGGGCCGCGCTGGGGCCCGAGCTGGACATGGGGCTGGCGGCCGGCACCGCTCTCGCACCGGACGCCGCCGGGCTGGGCCTGGGCTCCGGCCCCGGGCTGGGCTCGGCGCTGGGCTTTGCCGTGGGCGCCGCGCTGGGGGCCAGCAGCCTGGGGCCGGACATGGGCGCCGACCCCTCGCTGCCCGACCCCGGCCTCGGCCTGGGCCCCTCCATCGCCGCCCCCCTGGGCCCCCCCCTCGGGCTGGTGCGCCTGGCGCCGGGGCTGGGGGTCCCCGAGACCCCCGGGGGGGGCGCCGAGACCTGGACCCCCCCCTACACCCCCCGCCAGGCGCCCCCGTTCGCCTTCGGGCCCCCCGAGCCCCCCGAGGCCGCCCCCGAGAAGCTCCCGCCGAGCCCCGAGAGCCCGGGGGGGGTCCCGGGGGGGACCCCCGGATCCCTGCTGACCCCCGAGACGTCCCCGCCGCCCCCCGCGGCCCCCGCCGGGCCCGCCCTGCGCCGGCTCCTGCAGGGCCTGGCCGCCATCGCCAGCCGGGGGGGCCCCCGGCGCCCCGCGGGGGCGACCCCCGGCCCCCGGCAGCTCCCCCCGCCCCGGTCGCCCCGCGACCCCTTCGCTGAGTTGTATCAACTCCCCCAGAGCCGCCTCCAGGACGCCTTCCGCAAAGGTGCGGGGCTGGGGGGGCTGGGGGGTGACACGGGGGGGTGACACGGGAGGGTGACACGGGAGGGACGGGGGGGGACACGGATACGCCCGGGGACGCGTCCCCAACAGCCGGGTCCCCTCTCAGAGGGTGCCCCGGGGTCCCCAGGGAGGTTTGGAAGAGTGGGGGGGTGGTCCCGGAGCTCCCCTGGGTCCCAATTTTGGGGACAATCCCGGAGCTCCTCGGGTGCCTTTTTGGGAGGGGGTGACACAATCCTGGCCCTGGGGGATTTGGGACGGGGTGACCCGGGATTTTTGGGGTATTTTGGGCCGTTTTGGGGGCGGTTTTTAGACGTTTTGGGGAGGTTTGGGGGGCAGGTTTAGGGACGGTTTTTGGGGAGTTTTTTAGGGATTATTTTTGGCAGTGTTTGGGCGGTTTTCGGGCAGTTTTGGGGCGGTTTCTGAGATTTTTCGGGGTGTCCTTGACGTGTCCCCTCTCTCTCTCCCGCAGCCGGAAGCCAGCGCGCCCCGTCGTTCTGAACTAAGTCTGTGACGCGACTTGCCCCCAGTATGGCATATTGTCATTGTCACCCCGGCCCGGGCCAGCGTCCCCCCGGCCCCGGCCGCGCCCCCGCCGCCCCCCCCGGGGCCGCTCGTGCTAATTTAACTCGTAACGAGTCTCTAAGGTAATTGGGGGGGGGCTGGTGGCCCCCCCCCCCCTCAGCCCGGACGCCTGGGGACCGTCCCTCGTGTCCCCCGTGTCCCCTCCACCCCCCCCGCGCCAGGACCCGTCGCCAAAATTTTTTAGGGTCGCTGGGGTGGGGGCTTGGACCCACCTGTAGGAGCCTGTGGCCCCCCCCCCCCCCCCCCCCGAGCCCGGAGTGTCCTTGTCCCTTGTCACCCACCTTGTCCCTGTCACCTCCTCCCACCTCGGGCTCTGCGTTTTTGGCAGAGTCCCCCCCCTAAAACTGTGTCCCCTCTCCTCCCCCAACCCGTGGGCGTCACCCTCAATGTCCCCAACGTGGGGGACCGAGGCACGATGTGGCTTGATGTCCCCAGTGATGTCCCCAAATGTCCCCAGTGACGTCCCCAATGATGTCCCCAACGATGTCCCCGAGCCCTGGGGCTGAGGCACAATGTGGCTCGGTGTCCCCAATGTCCCCAACACCCTCCAAGGGGCATCCTGGCCTGATGTCCCCTCGATGTCCCCAGCGCCCCCCACCCCTACCCCGAGACCGTCGCAGCGCGATGTCCCCAATGCCCCCGAGGGACACCGGCCGCACTCGTGCACCCCAGACTGACACACCCGGTGTCCCCACCGTCCTCGGTGTCCCCAACCCCACGGACTGAGATTGTCGTGACCCAGCGTCCCCAAGTGTCACCGATGTCCCCGAAGGGTGGGGGACACTGCCACCGTCCCAGCTCAAGGGATCGAGTCCCGCCGTGTCCCCAGCGTCCCGAGGGACAGGCGGGGGGTGCCCCCACAGCCCCCGAGTCCCGGTGCTGTCCGTGATGTCCCCAATGTCCCCTGACAATAAAAGTGTCCCCCATGGTCCCCGTGCCTGCGGCAGCTCCTTCCCAGGGGCCTGGGAAATTTGGGGGGAATCTGGGGAGGGGGACAGAGGCTGGGAGGGACCCAGGATTTTGGCGGGGGTGGGGGAGCCACGAATTAGGGAGGACTCGGGAATTTAGGGACGACGCAGAAACTCGGGGAAACCGCGGGATTATTGGGGAGGATCCCAGGGATCGGAATGAGGGAATTGGATTCTGGGGGAACGCGGGAATTTGGGGAATTTGGGGGGTTTGGGGTCCCGGAGGGTCCCGGGAGTCTCCCCCGAGCTGCGGGAGCCGCCAGGCCCCGCCCCCAGCGCCCAAACCACCGCCCACAAAGGGAAAGCCCCGCCCACCCAGCCTGATTTGCATAACCCCGCCCCTCCGCCTGCGCGCGTGCGCAGCTCCTCCCGGCGCCGACGCAGCGCGGTGAGTCCCGGACTGGTCCCAGCGACCCCAAACTGGGACCAGTGACCCCAGACTGGTCCCAGTAATAACCCCGTACTGGTCCCAGCATGCCGGACTGGTCCCAGCTCCGCGCCGGCCCCAGTAACCCCCAGAAGCCTCCCAGTAACCCCCAGTATCCCCCAGCACCCTCCCAGTACACCCCTCTGACCACTCCCAGTGCCCCCCAGTAGCTCCCAGTTCCCCACAGTCCCTCCCAGACCCCTCCCAGTCCCCCCCAGTGCCCGCCATGGGCCGGGGCCGGTTTTTGGGGGGCTGCGCGTGGCTGCTGGGGGGTCTGGCTCTGCTCCAGACCCTTTACCTGCGGGCGCTGCCCCCCCCGCGCCCCCTCCGGCCCCGCCGCCCCCCCCGGGGGGTTCTCGACGCCTCGGGGGCGTTCCGGGTGTACTGGGATGTACTGGGAGCCCCCCCGGGCTGGGCCCGCGACCCCCGGCCCGAGCTGGTCCTGGCCACCCACGGCAGCCCCGGACGAGCGGCGGCGGCGCTGGGGGGGCCCTGGGGGGGGCCGCTATCCGTGGCCGTTTTTGGGGCGCCCCGGGAGGGGCTGCAGGAGCTGATGGAGATTTTGGGGGGGCCCTGCCGGAGTTTGCGGGGCCGCCTGAGGCTGCACGTGGTGCTGGGGGCGGCGGGACCCCCCCCAAAAATCCCGGACCCACCTCGAGCCCCCCAAAATTCCGGGGGGTGCCGGGGGGCCCTGGCCAGGCTGGCGGCCGCCGACCCCCCCAGTTACAGTTTGGAGGTGCCGTACCCCGGGAATCTGCTCAGGAACGTGGCCTGGCAGGGGGCGGCTGGGGGGGGGCTCGGGGGAGGACCCCCACCCAAACTGGGGGCGCGTTTCGTGCTCATGGTGGACGCGGACGTGGTGCCGAGCCCGGGGCTGCGCGAGGGGTTCCTGGAGCTGCTACGGAACGGGGGCCTACACCCCAAAAACTGGGAGGGACAGGAGGGGCTGCACCCCGAAAACTGGGGGGGACAGGAGGGGCTGAGCGACCCGAAAGCTCCGGAGGCTCAGAAGGATTTGGGGAACCCCAAAAGTTTGGATATTCAGGGGACTTTGGGGTTTCGAGGGGAGTTGGGGGACCCAAAAGATTTGGAGGCTCCTGGTGGCCTGAGGGTCCTCAACACCTTGGGGGTCCCTGGGTTCCCCAAGGACCTGGGGATATCCAGAAGTTTTGGGGACCCCAATGGCTTGAGTGAGCCCAGTGTCCCCAGTGCCATGGGGGTCCCCAAGGGTCTGCAGGACCTGAGTGACCCCAATGTCCTGGAGGTCCCCCACACCCCGAGTGACCCCCACACCCCGAGTGACCCCCTCACGGCCGAGCCCCCCTGGGCCCGGGTCCTTTTCGTCCTGCCGGCCTTCGAGGTGCGCTCGGGGCTGCGTTTGCCGCGCTCCAAGGCGGAGCTGCTGCGCTTTTGGGGCGCGGGGGAGGCGCGGCCGTTCTACGGGACCCTGTGCCCCCGCTGCCAGGCCCCCACGGATTTCGGGCGCTGGCGGGCGCTGCCCTCGCCCCCCCGGCTGCGTGTGGCCTACGAGGTGCCCTGGAGGGACCCCTGGGAGCCGTTCTTCGTGGCCCCCGCCCGCGGCGTCCCCCCCTTCGACGAGAGGTTCCTCCAGTACGGCTTCAACCGCATCAGCCAGGTCAGGGGGGCTCGGGGTGGGCCCTGGGGATCGTGGGGTGGACTCGGGGTGGTCACGGTGGCCATGGGGGCTGGGGATGCTGGTAGTTCTGAGATCTGGGTGCTCTGGGGGGGTCTCTGGGTGCTCTGGGGGGGTTCTCTGGGTGCCCTCGGAGGTCCATGGGTCCTTTGGGTGGGTCCTTGGTTCCTTGACGGTCTCGTTGTGACCCTTGCCCCTCCTTGTGTTCCCCAGGCCTGCGAGCTGCACGTGGCCGGGTTCCGTTTCGCCGTGCTGGATGGGGCCTTCGTCACCCACCGGGGCTTCAAGGAGCCCGGGGGCTTCCACAGGAGCCGCGAGGCCGAGCTGGGCCAAAACCGGCGCCTGTTCCGCCGCTTCCGGGAGGAGCTGAGAGAGCGCTACCCGGGATCGACCCGGCGCTGCTGACACCTGGGACACACCTGGGGACAGCTGCTCACACCTGGGACACACCTGGGACACCTGCGATCCTCCCAGGGAGGTTCCAAGGACACTTGAAGGACCTGCCATGGACACCTGGGGACACCGGACACAGCAGGGGACAGCTGAGGACACACCTGGGTCAATTGGGGACTCTCCATGGACACCTGGATGCCTGACTGTCCCTCAGTAAAGATGGCCGCCTACCCACGATGCCTCTGTGTGGGTGATGTTATGGGGGTGGGGTGGGGCGGGGTGAGCAGCTGCCTCCAGTACAGACCAGTAGTGCCCAGTACAGGCCAGTAACGCCCTGGCCATGAGGCAGAGCCCCGCCCCGGATTGTTTGTCGCAGCAAACTACAACTCCCAGCAAGCACCGGGTGCCACCGCGGCCGAGTCCCCGTCCTCTTATTTAAAAAAACAAGCAAAAAAAAATCCACAACTCCCAGAGTGCATCGGAAACAATATGGCTGCCAAGCCAGCTGTGTTTTCAGCTAAGTTAGAACTACAGTTCCCAGAATGCATTAGGACACGTAACCGGAAGTGTTATTGATTTACAGAACTACAACTCCCAACATGAACCGGGGCAACACGACTGACTTCCGCTTCGCCATTCCGGTGGTTTTGTTCCCGCCGCTCCCTAAAATGGGTGGGCAGGGGCAGCAGCGCCCCCTGGCGGGCGGGCGGACCAGAACGGGGGGATTTTTTTGGGGGAGGGGCAATGGGTGGAGAGGGAAACCCCAAATTTGGGAGGGGGGGGGTTTGGCCATGGTGGGGACCTGATATTTGAGATAGGGGGAGGGGACTGGACCCCAAATTTTTTGTGGGGGGAATCATGACCCCCAAATCCACGGGGAGAGGATCCGATTTGAGCCAAAACCCCCAAATTTGAGCTTAAAAAAAAAAAACACCCAAATGCGGCAAACTCGCGGTTAATAAACATTTTTTATTTGCATTTTCCACCCTGGTTTTTCTCCCGTTAATTCGCCGTTAAAGTGCTGCAAAGGGAAAAGGTTTATAATTTCTGGGGATTTTTTTTTTTTTTTTTTTTTTTTAATCTTAAACAGGTTAAACAGAAAAGTTTTTTTTTTTTTTTTTTTTTTTTAATTTCATTTATTTAAACTTCCCCCAAAAATCCTCATAAACAAAACTTTATCCCGGACGCCCGACGCACCTTTTAATTTTGGGGCTAAACGAGACAGAAATGGGTGCTTTTATCAAATTATTATACAAAGAATGTAACAAATACAACAAAAAACAGCCGAAAAAAACAGCCCGAAAAAAAAATGAAAATGAAGCAGCAGGGAGAAGCTCGGGAGTGGCTCTGGGCTCGCTCCGTCCTCCCCGGAGTCATTCGATCTCCAGGTCTTGCGCCACGGATTAAATTTTCCGAGCTCTGGGGACACTTCTCAGTTTCAGAGGTCACAGTTGTGTTTTTTTGGTTCGTTTTTGTTAATAAATCCATGGGGTTTGGTACGTTTTTATTAATAAACACATGGTTTGGATTTATTTTTTAAAAAATACATGGTTTTTGGTTGGTTCTGCTCAATAAATCAATATTTTTCCAGTTTCTTTCTTTGGATAAATCCATTTAAGTTTTTTTTTAAGGTATCCCTTTTCTTTGGTTTATTTTCTTAACAGACCCAATTTTGTCTCTGGTAATTCTTTATTTTAAAATTAATTTCTTTAATAGATTTTTTTTTAATGGATCCACATTTTTACTTTGGTGTTTGTTTCTTTTTTTAATAATTCCATTTTATTTGGTTTCTTTTTTTAGTAAATCCATATTTTTGCTTTGCTTTTTAAATATATCCATGGGTGTGGTTAATTTATTGAATATATCCATGGTTTTGGTTAGTTTTTTATTAATAAATCCACAGTTTTGCTTGTTATTTTAGATAAAAATCCACAGTTTTTGGTTCCATTTCCTTCACAAGCCAAAAAAAACAAAGTTATGAGCAAATCCATCGACCCAACAGAATCTTCAGCCCCGGGAAAAAAAAAAAAAAAGCAAAAAAAAGGTTAAAAATGGGGGGGGAATAATAAAAAAAATCATTAACCAAACACTGAAAATATTTTTTTTGGGGGGGGGGGGGCGGAGGGAGGAAAAAAATGGGGGACAAAAATAAACCCCAATAAAAAAAAAAAAAATTAAAAAAAAAAAAAAAGGGAAAATGGGGAGGGAAGAATTGAAGCTCTCGGCACAGGGAGGACCCCAAAAATCCGGGGGGGACCCCCCCAGCCCCTCCCCCCTCCCCACTCTCTGTACACGGGGGGGTCCCTCCTGTGTCCAGGCCTATGTACAAGCCCTGCCCTGGTGGTCACTCCTTGCGCTTGGTGGTCACCGACAGCTCCAGGCCGGGCACGCGGAGCCCCCCCCGGGCGCCGCCCTCGCCGGACGAGGCCAGGGGGGATTTGGGGGACCCCGGCTCCCGCCCCCCGTCCTCGTCACCGGCCGTCACCTCGTAGCACCCCTTGGCCTTGGAGCCGATGCCCCCGAAGGTCCCGAATTTGCTCTTGGGTTGCCGGGAGGCGGCGTCCGGCTCGGCCGCGTGCTCGTCGCTGAAGGACGACGAGCGCGGCCGCGCTTTCTTGGTGCGGAACAGCGAGAATTTGGCTTTGGCCGCCGGCGCCTCGGCCTCCAGCTCGCCCTCGGCCGAGCCCAGGCTCACCTTGGAGCTCTTCAGGTCGCCCTTGGAGCCGGACACCGAGCCCGACGCCTCGGGGGACCCCGGGGTGCCGCTGCGCCCTTTCTGCTTGGAGAAGTTGAATTTGGGCATCTTGAGCTTGGATTTCTTCAGCCTGGCCTCAGCCTCATCCGGCTCCGGCTCGGCCACGTCAGCGCCGGGGAAGTCGACGTCCACCCCAACCTCACGGCCCTTGGCCTCGGGCTCCGAGAAGACGAATTTTGGCATCCTCAGCTTGGGGAAGGACACTTTGACCTGGCCGCCCTCGGTGGCCACCTTGGGGCCGGTGGCGTGGAAGGTTCCGGAAGCAGCGCTGACCTCGGCCGCGCCTTTGACCTTCGGCCCCTTCACGTTGACGTTCAGTCCTGAGCCGGACGCTTCCAGGGTTGGAGCCTCCAGGTGGGCACCGACCCCTCCCCGAGGGGCTTCCACGCTGACCTTTGACCCTTTGATGTCACCGGCCACGTCAACGTTTGGTCCTTTCAGCCTCAGGTCAACGTCCGGCGTGGAGATTTTCGGCCCTTTCAGCTCCACCTCGGGACCTTCCAGCCCCAAATCGGAGCCCTTCAGCCCCCCCTTGACCTGGGGGCCCTCCAGAGTGACCCTCGCGTCCCCTCCGTCCACGCTGGGGCTGGAGATGCTGAACTGGGGCAGCTTCAGGGACGGGAGTTTAATGGTGCCCCCCAAAATTTCGAAGCCAGAGTCGTCCGCCGACACCTGCGGGGTTTTGAGGCCGGCATCTCCTTTCAGCTTTGGTCCTTTCAGGTGGACATCCAAATCTGGGCCGGAGACGTCCAGCGAGGGGCCCTGGAGGTCCAGGGTGGCCCCTGGGGACTGGACGGAGCAGGGGACGCCCCCCTGGACCTCCAGCGTCGGGGATTTCACCGTGGGCAGCTTCACCTTCCCCCCCAGGCCGCCGAGGTCCAGGCCGGGCGCCTCTAGGGTGACGCCGGGCCCTTGGGCAGAGCCCGAAATGTCCAAATCTCCCTTTAATTTTGGTCCTTTCAGGTTCCCCTCCAACTCAGGCCTGGAGATTTGGGGCCCTTTGAGCTTCACATCCACGGCCGTGCTCACATCCGGCATTTCCAGCTCTAAACCTGTTTCCCCCCCCTTGGGCCATCCCAGTTTCACCTCGGGACCTTCCAGTTGTGCTCCAGCAACGCCAACTTCACCTTTAACTTTTGGTCCTTTCACGGCGACGTCAATGTCCGGCGCCGCCACCGAGGGGACGGCGACGTCGACCCCGGGGCCCTTCAGGTCCCCCCCGATTTTCACGTCCCCCGTGCCCACCTGGACCCCGGGGAGTTTCAATTTGGGGCTTTTCAGGTTCACATCAGGACCTTCAACATCCACATTGAGGCTCGGGCCCTTGAGGTCGCCCTCAACTTTCGGGAGCCCCGGTGAGGCCTCCCCGCGGAATTTGTGCGATTTGAGGTCGAATTCCACGTCTGGGAAGGAGATCTTCCCGAACATGTGTTTCTTGCCCTTCGGGGACTTTGTGGCAGAGATGTCAGGGCTGGGGACGTTGAGCTCAGCGTCCAGCTCCGCCCCCGGCGCGGTCACCTCGAACGCCCCCTTCTTCCCCTTCACCTTGGGGCCGCTCATGTGGATTTTGGGCATCTTGAACTTGCTCTTCTTCCCCTTCCCGGACAGGTGGGCCTCAGGTGACTCCACATTCAGCTCCACCTCAGGTAAATCAGGTAAAACCTCTGCCTTGGGACTTTTCATCCCGAACCCAAATTTGGATTTTTTGAACTTGGGACCTTTGATGTTGGCTTCCGGGCCCTCAATGTTGATGTCAGGACATTCGACATCAACTTCGGGGCCTTTGACCCCAAATTCGGGGCCTTTGAGGTCGACCTCGGGACCCTTCAGGTGACCTTCCACCTTCGGGGTGGAAACATCAAAGCCGCCCTTGGTTTTGTGGCCTTTCAAGTTCAAGTCTATCTCAGGCATGGAGATTTTGGGGACACTCACATGCATTTCAGGCATTTTCAGTTTCGGACCTTTCACTTTGCCCTCCACACCTTCGACGTTGACCTCTGGCAGGCCGAGATCAACCTTGGGGCCAGACAGATCCACCTCGGCCTTGGGCAAGTTCACATCCACCTCGGGCCCTTCCCCTTTAAAACCAAATTTGGGGATTTTCATTTTGGGCAGCTTCACTTTCCCCTCCAGACCATCAACATCAATCGCTGGGCCCTCGATATTGACTTTGGGGCCCTTCAGATCCCCCTCGAGCTTGGGGCCGTGCAGATCAGCATCACCTTTGACTTTCAGGCCCTTCAGATTCAGGTCGATGTCGGGCGTGGAAATTTGCGGAGTCTGGACGGAAATTTCGGGCATCTTGATCGTGGGCCCTTCCATGGTCACATCAGGAACTTGAATGTCCACTTTGGGGCCTTTGAGGTCACCTTCCAGCTTGGGGACAGAGACATCGATGTCCCCCTTGACCTTGGGGCCTTTGAGGTTGAAGTCGACGTCAGGCATGGAGATTTTGGGGGCCTTGATGTGCATCTCAGGCATCTTGAACTTGGGGCCTTTGATCTTCCCCTCAGG